CCACCAGCCACTCCTCGGAAGGAAGATGGGGCAATCTACTTCCATAGTGATACTGCCTCGGAAACCAAAGGAGGGGTCGCTATGAGTCAGGTCTGACTCGACGACACATAACAACAACAACAAAAAATATATATATATATATATATAGTTGTATTTCCAGGCAACCCATCTTACTTGGGAACTGTATTTAAAAAATCTCTGTCTGTGCTGCTCAGCAAGCACTAGGTGTTAAATAACTATAAATTCTTCTACTTCTTGAGTTCTGGTTTCTAAAGCCTTTAAAGCAAGGTGATGAGAACTGAACACACATTTAGTTTGCTGAATACAGAGCACAGGATCTACCATCTCCCAGGTCCCTGACTCCCACTTCAATCTGGACAATTCTTTCAAATACAGGGTAAGATGGAAAAATCATTTCTAGACATGGTCATGACACAACCTACTCATGGCCAACTAAAATTCCTATTTTTTCTTTTTAAACTTAGCTGTTGTCAAGTTGGCTTTTTCTCATCCTATTGTTACAAAATCAATTTTCAATCAATCTAATTAAAGGGTCTTTATTTATCCCATTAAATAATTGTATTTTTCTGGTCACTTGAGAGCTCTGGTAGCATAATACCTAAGGCACTGGACTACTAACCAGAGGGCTGGCGGTTCAAACCCACCAGCCACTCCTCGGAAGGAAGGAAGATGGGGCAATCTACTTCCGTAGTGAAACTGCCTCGGAAACCCAAGGAGGGATCGCTATGAGTCGGGTCCAACTCAACAGCACATAACAACAACAATAACATTAAGTTAAGTTAAGCAAACTATTTCAGTGTTCCTGTTTGTTGATCTAATATATTAACTATTCCTCCTAGCTTGAAGTTTTCCCTCAATCTGATCAACACGGCCTTGGTCCATCCTTAATAACTGTTTTGATGACAGCAGAGCTGGAACTCACCTTCAGAGAGGTAGACTCCATGAAAGGACAGTCCTTGGGCATTTTATTTTATTGGTTACAGTGAGACCCATAATGTTGCCTGCCCAGCAGCCTTTCTCAGAGAATTGTCTCTTCTCTTCCATGTGGCCACAAGGACACTCTCCCAGGATATGGTTGTACAATGTCACATTCATGTCAAACCTTTGCTTCCTGGCTGAGCTGGTTTGGTCTAGGGACTTACTTGCCCCAAGTGGGCCAATCAGAATTCTTTTGTCAAGAATACAGAATTAGGACAGTGGAGTCTAGTCCAATTTTTGAGGAGAAGAAAGAGAAATATTCAGAGCTCTGGCATGACTGTGTTTCTCCCACGTGAA